TTCACCGCCGCCGTCCAAGCCGAGGTTAAGCAGTGGATGGTAAGTGTTATACTTAATAATTTGATATATTTGTAAAACTGTATGATTTAATGTTTGAAAAGAAGTAAAAATCTAATGAATAGAATTTGGTGAGACCTAGTCGATAAAATGTCCTTTTCATTTTGCAGCGTTCCAGTTTACTTAAAGAAAGCTAACGATAGTTATAGATTTAGTAAATAATTTTATTGTATTGTTTTAGCCTGCCGTGGGGGCAATGTTTTTCGGGCTCAATACCCTTTCCTGTATGGCGGGGACGGTGTCCGTCCTGCTNCAGTTTGATTCCCTGCTGAGCCAGGTGGTTGTCGAGGCAGTGGAGGAGGTCCCTCTGGCGGAGGTACTGCCCAACACCGGGAAGCCCCCCAAGGGCAGGGGCAGGGTATCTAAGGCCACCCCCCCTAGGAAGATCTGGAGCCCCAAGAAATCCAACCTCAACCAAAGGCTGTCGGCCGTCTGGGGCAGGAAGGAAGTGGTCCTCCGGGTCAGGCCTGGTGTGAGGACCCGGAGTCAGACATCTCTGGAGTCCTTGGACTCCTTCAAGTCCCTGTCGTAGGGCCGCCCCCCTTTTTGTAAGGTTTTTATTTTAAATAAAAATATTTAAAAAGGAATATTGTTTTAGTGTGTTAAATCTCAAATATCTTTAATTATAAATAAAAGCAAATCAAAGAAGGTGTTAGAATTATAATGCTTTCCATGGATCAGAGTTTAATGTTCTAAAATTGCGTACTAGGTAAATGAAAGGGAGAGTGAAGCTAGTTGACATGACGTCATTGCGTAAAATCCGCTCATGTATACACGCATTATTTATATGAAACAAGGGAATACGCACTTCGGAAAAAAAAGGCAAATTAATAAAGCAGTTATTTACCAACATCAGAATTTTAATAATTTGGATTTAAAACGTGTTTAATGTTTTTAAATATAAGGAGCACGGTATACGAAGAGCTCAGTTAAAGGTCTTTTCGGATTGCTTTACATGCGTTAGCCTGTTGCAATACTCGACTGGCACAAATTGGAGACAAATTTGGCGGATTTTTTTTTTTTTATTTGAGTTTTCAAGTCGGGCCTTGTGTATACGAAGAGTTCTTATAAATCATTTTGCTTCTATCATATGTTTGTTATATATATGAAGAGAAATCAAAAGTGAAGCAGGTGTTGTATGACGTCATTGCGTAAAATGCGTATATATGACAAGGTCAGGTAATTCTACGCATTTTGTGTTCAATTCAAATTTCAATCAATTTTCCTGGAATATGAAACAAGGGATATATATTCGTAAAAACAAATTAGAAAGGCAGTATTATTGACATTAGAATCTCAAGAAGTCTAATAAAAAAAATGTGTAATTTTTCACAATACGCAGATCCGTATTTTGAGCGTATTGACACTGTCTTCGTTTTCAATGGTTCGGAAGAATACCGAGCACAGGTTAAAAACAGATTTTTACAGGTTTATGAAAAAATACAGTTCGGGCCAAGCCCAAACCGGGGATAACGGTAAAACAGAGTCATCCAGGCAGTAAATATGGTTTACTTAAAAAGATAAAGATGTACCATAGGTTGCAATATGCGTTAAAATGCGAAAAATTGAAACTGGCGAAGGGCAGAAAAATGTAAATTTAATTTACATTTACCGTAATATTCTTTTTGATCCAAGAATCCACATTCAGTACGTTAGTGAAATTAGGTCTCTGCGGAATAATCAAATTAATTTTTGGAAGGAAAAAAAATAATATGTCGTATATTGTGGAACCCATTGATTATCATTATGAATATTTAGAGAGGTAATGAACCACAATATTGCAATAATATAACATCCATATATATCGATATAATCTAATTTTAAGGATAAATGATGGTGGTAGGGTACTATGTGAAGTAGGGGAGTGCATAGATTTTGAACATGTACTGTTCACAGAGTGAGTAACCAAATGGAGTTGAATATTCAAAAGGCTTTATTATAAAAAGAATAATTAAAAATTTGAAGGTGGAGGTCGTATCCTGAGGTCGGTAAAACCTCTTATCTAGCAATGGTATTCCAACGTAGGTGGCAGTCCAGAATAATGCCTTTAATATCAATATTCAGGTATAGATTTGTGCTGTTGTTATTTGCTCAATATTTTGCGCAAAATTCATAAATTTAAATTGAATCAACATAAATGAGTTGTAGACAATCTGAAAAACAGCACAAATTTAATCAGGCATTATTTGGGTTTGGCACATGTAACCAACTCATCACACATCAGGGATGGAGTTGGTTGGGAATGCATAAAAGAAGGTATTAATTTGTTAGTTAAACCATCAATAGGTCGGTAAATTTTTATAATTGTTTTTGTAGGATACGGTCGACTGATGGAAAGGCGAGAAAATGGAATCAGTCTTTGTGAAGAATAATGTTCCCTGTTTAGATTGTATAAAAGTGTCGAGTAGAATTTCGTGAATAAGTCCTTTAATATCCATATATTTTTTTCGTTTCTAAATTTCATTGAATTTGTTATAGAAGTAATTCCAGAAAAAATATGGCTTATGTTGTAGAGCCTATCGATACTTATTATCATTTTTTAGAGAGGTAACACGTTTTATAGGATCGCAAAATCTTTAAGTAAATGAAGTGGAACGAATTCTAATGTATCCCATTCGAGGAGGGTCGAGGGTAGGTGCGTGGTCTCCAAGATAGCTATGGGCGTGTGTTTGGATAATGAATTAAACGGAAGGTGGGTAATAAAACCTATTAAGTTACAAGTGTAAAGATGGTGCAAAAAGAAATGAAAAATAAAATTAAATTATCAAGGGTGTAGACGATATCTGTTAAATTGTATATTAAAGGTTGGAGGCGGAGCTTGGCCGCGGTAAAAAATTCGTCAGTTCCTTGGAAGTTTGGCGGAGGCAGAAGAGCAAGTTGGCTCCTTACGTATCATTCTTTAGGTACGAAGATATATTTTTCATTAATGCGTGTTTTCTTTTTTTCGATTGTCAATGATAAAGAATGAAAATAGAATCCATCCTAGATTAAAAAATGGATTATTTAAAAATAAACGTTAATGAGAAAGCCGGTTTATTAAATAATGTTATCCAACGAAATTATAGTCGAGTCTATCTAGAATCATGTATGAGTGTTAAAAAATATATACAATCTAAATAAGGGCTGTTGTCGGGTTAGACGGGGATGTAGATATGGACGAAATTCAAGATGGGGTGAATTGGGGGGAGATCGTGAGCGGTAAGTAAAATAATTTAATATTATAGTATCTAGGCGAGATAAGGGAATAAATATTTTATTTTTACAGGATATTGGAGGTCTAAGTTTAGGGAATGGGATAATATCAACTTGACCGAAGATCAATTAATCTAGAGGAATTATGGAGTGGTGAAAGCAATTTCCCATCTAGGGTTAAATGTTTCAATAGCGTAAAATGGAAACTTTTTTTAAAAAAAATATATTTCAGAAGGATGATCTAGTGAGAATAAAAATGTTGAGAAGCGTCTCGGATTCATCAGTATAGCCGAGATACGTTGGAGTTGTAGGTATAGGATAATATTCGACCTGAGATACAGCGTAGAGGGGGAAATGCAATATAGAGTCAGAATTGAGTTTACTGTCCCAAAGTTAGTGAGTTTAGACACCACACTTGGACCTATCACAAAGTTTTTGAAAAATGTCCTAAAAATGCGGGAAAAATATAGAAAAAATTATTTTTCCTACATTTTATTGTTTGATTCAAAAACTAGATCACAATTCAAGTCTGCATTAAAAAAATCAGAGAGAAATCTCTAGTTACAAAGTCAGAAGGCTTCTTTGGCCTTAAGGAGGGAGAAAATTGGGAATAGGGGAGGAAATGTTATAAGGAGAGGGGGAAATGGATTATAGTGTCCAGAATTGAGTTCCCCGACCCAATGTTTATCACTTTAGACACCCCACATGGACCTAACGCAAAGTTTTTGAAAAAAATGACCGGAAAATCCGGGAAAAATCATTTATTTTAAGAATAATTTAAGTCTTTGCCACAAACTCAAATTTTCTAATTCCATATCTTTGCATCCTGCTGGTGTGAAACATTAATATTTCAAACTCAGATAAATTTATCTAACATAAGTGATATTTAAAAATATTTAATGACTACCATATTAAATTGCAAAGATATAGGGATTAAAAAATCATGATCAAGATAGTTAGTTTCAGGATCCTTGATCATTATCAAGATAGTTAGTTCCAGAACCCTTGATCATGATCAAGATAGCTAGTTCCAGGACCCTTAATCATGATCCAGATAATTATAGTTCCAGGACCCTTGATCATGATCAAGATAGTTATAGTTCCAGGACCCTTGATCATGATCAAGATAAATATAGTTCCAGGACCCTTGATCATGATCAAGATAGTTAGTTCTAGGACCCTTGATCATGATCAAGATAGTTAGTTCCAGGACCCTTGATCATGATCAAGATAGTTAGTTCCAGGACCCTTGATCATGATCAAGATAGATAGTTCCAGGACCCTTGATCATGATCTAGATAGTTAGTTCCAGGACCCTTAATCAAGATCAAGATAGTGAGTTCCAGGTTCCTTCATCATGATCAAGATAGTTATAGTTCCAGGACCCTTGATCATGATCAAGATAGTTAGTTCCAAGACCCTTGATCATGATCAAGATAGTTA